TTTAAAATTTTTTAAAAAAGTCGAATTTCCTATCTGGCTTTTTTTTTTGATTTTCTGTTTAGGCATTTTCTAAACCCTCTTTATAAAAATTAGCCCTTGTTGACGTCCCAAACCAGCCCTTTTGCTTGGAAAAGTTTTAAATTCCCCCATTCCCTCCTTTTTCTTTTAACTATTTTTCCTTGGGGGTCAACCAAAACCGAAAAAATTAAAATTCTTAGCATCCGGCTATACTGAGCTGTTTGTCATATAATTTTAATGTCTTGATAAAGTCTTTTTTTGGGGGGGACTTTAATTCAAAAGGCCCCAAAACAGAGGGGAATACATTGAGTAGGTTTCTGCCATTTCAGACCCCAATCGTCATCTCGCCTTTCCGGGCACTTGCCATTGTCCCTCACGGGTTTTCATTTTCTTCAAAACACCAACCCCTTAGGTCCCTTCTCCCGGGAATACAAAAATTTTTTTTTCCCCTAAAATAAATTCCCAGTTTTGGGAAACCCCATTTAGTATGCGGGAAACCATGAAAGTTTTTCTGAACCCAACCTTCGGGGAAAAGACAAACTTTACCCCCCCCCCCCCCCATCCCTTCACTGGGTTTTTTTACGAAAAAACCCTAAAGGCATTGATTTTCTGGAGGGGGGGGAAAAGGGATTAAAACCTCCTGTTGGTTTCAATTGCTCCCCTCGGCCCCCTTTTTGGGGATTAAACCTCTCTATTTGTCCGGGTTTACAATTTTTAACCGAAAGTGAAAATAAAATCCTGAGTTTTGGGTGTCACCGGGAACGGGTTCAAAAAAAGGGGGCCCCCCCTATGAAAACCATTGGGATGTAGGGGGGCTCGCAAAATAGATTTCACACCATCCCTTAAAATAGGGGCAGCTTTCCAAATATATTATTACACACGGTTAAAAGTAATTCTCCTCACCCTCTACATTGTAAAACCCCCCCCGGGACACCCCCATGTGTACATCTGGAGGGCATCTTTTCCCGAATCATTCCAATTATGAAAACACACCCCCGTTTTAATTTTAAAAAACATGTAGGTGGTCCCAAACAAGGCCCTGCAGGGCCCCCGCATTTCACAACCCCCCAAGGGGTTAAAAAACACGGTAAAAAAGGGGCCAATCGGGAAACCCCCCAGGCCCCAGCCAGGGTTCCCTTAAACCAAACCCGGGGGGAATTTTTACAAAACGTGTTTCTGGGGGTCCAAACGGAAACCCTCCAGGCCCCCGCCGTTTCACCCCCCAAAATTAAAACAACCCCTGGAATGGTGGTTCCCCTTTAGAACCCTCCAGGCCCCAGCGTGGGGACAAACCCCCGTTTTAAAATTTACACGTGTATTTGGGGGTCCCATCAGAAACCCCCCCCGGCCCCAAACAGTGCACCCCCCCCAATTAATATGACCCGGGGTATTTGGGGGTCCAATCAGAAACCCTCCAGGCCCCACAGTGGGACACCCCCGATTAATATGCACCCTGTACTGGTGGTCCAAACAAAAACCCTCCCCGGCCCCACAGTGCCAAACCCCCCATTTTAAAACCATGTTTCTGGGGGTTTTCCCCAAACAGAACCCTCCAGGCCCCCCAGGCGGTTTCACAACCCCCCAAAAAAAAAGGGGGCCACCAGGGATGGTGGTTTCCAAACAGAACCCCCCAAAGGGCCCCCCGGGGAGTGGCCCCCCCGCCCTGAAATTCCCCCAAATTTTTAAATCTCCATTTAAAAATTCCCCTCACAAATTTCTAGCCGGATTCTCCTTTTTAAAATCCCCTTGGAAATTTTAAAAAACTCCCCCAAATCTCTCCCCTCCTCCCCCAAAACCCCCTTAGAAAATTTTTAGGGGGTTTGGGTTTCCTTCTTTTGAAATCCAGATCTTTGAGGGAATAGAAAAGATCCAACAAACCCCCACAAAGTCCCTTTTTTTAGAGATTTTTTTCCTTTAAAATTTCCCAACCCAAATTTTCACATATTTATTCCAAGGTTTTTGAAGAAAATTTTTCTTTAAAAAACCCATCAAAAACTGCTTTTTTATTGGACTTTATTCCCACAATAAAACAATCAAAGGGAAACCATGCCAAACAATCATCAGATCAATAGGAATTTTTTCCAATTTTCCCAGTGATCACGGTTTGTTTCCCCCAACTTTAAACCCGTGCACAGAATTTATAAATCTATCCCTTTAAAAGGATTTTTATTGTTTGGGTTTTATGTCATTGATTTATCTTTTGATTCCCTTCTATGTTTTTTTTTGATTGTTTTTCCCCTTTTTATTGTTCACCCCACCCAAACCCTCTCACCTTTTTGTCTTCTTCATAAAACCCCGAAATGGGGGAAAACCCGTCCCGGTCCTTTAAAAAATAGTTTTTGAATTGGGTCTTTAAATTTCCAAATAATGGGACTGGGGACTTTTATTCCCCTATTTTTATATCGTCTTTTTACACTGTCGATGAAGTGACCTTTGAGCCTAAAAAGGTTGATGGTGTTTTTTTTTCATTCATGTCCGAAAACTCCACCTTTGAAAAAACTTTCAAGTTTTCCTCCTTTACTATGGGCTCCTCGCTGCCCTTCCCCCTCATTTTTTTTTTGGGGGTAAAAGTTCTCCACCGGGTCCAAATCCGTTTTGATTTATGATCCGGAACCCACTTCTCCTTCAAAGAATATGTTCCTCCAACATGTCCTATTCCTGAAGGGCTCTATTTATAGAACATTCATTGGACCAATGAGACAATCATTCCTCCAGCTGTGACAACATCCGGCCCTATGTTAGGTAACACAGTGATTTCCTATGATCGCCGGCTCCATCTAGTGGCCACAATGAGGTGATTTTTCTGAAATATCTCCATCAGTAAAAGTAGCCCAATATGATATTATGGCCACTAGATGGAGCCAATGATCATAAGAAATGAAATACGGCCAAAACTCCTCCCAGCTGGAGAATGCCGGTCACATCCGTTCAACATTGTTCTCCATAGACCTCCAAGTGTTTGTGAAATCTCCCACCACAAAATGTACTCAGCCAATCACAGGGCAGGACTCCAGTTTTATTCTTCTCCTGCCATCAATGGCCAACCCGGTCCCACACTTCATCCATGTCTTTGAGGACCTCTGATCTCCTTATGAACTGTTCCTTCCATGATGAAGATCAGCCATGGAGTATATCTGAGGTGTATATCAGGGTGTGCTTCTTCCCCACATGAGAGCTGGGATGTCCAGCAACATTCATCTAGAAGACATTTCCCGCACTCAGGGCACCAATACACCTCCAGGGTTGTGTGGGGACCCCTGATGTACAGGAAGACAGGACTTCAGTGAGGAACATTTCCCTCACTCAGGAAAGGAAAGTACCTTCTCCCCCGTGTGAGATCTCTGATGCTTGTAAAAGTTTAGACTTGTCTGAAAAACATTTCCCGCACTCAGAAAAGGAATACGGCTTTTCCTCTGTGTGAGATCTCTGATGTGTGTAAAGAGATTTGGACTTCTGTGAAAAACATTTCCCACACTCAGGACAGGAAAACGGCTTCTCCCCTGTGTGATATCTTTGATGTGTGTGCAGACTGGACGTCTGTGAAAAACATTTCCCACACTCAGGACAGGAATATGGCTTCTCCCCTGTGTGAGATCTCTGATGGGTGCGAAGACTGGACTTGTCTGAAAAATATTTCCCACACTCAGGACAGGAAAATGGCTTCTCCCCCGTGTGAGATCTCTGATGTTTATAAAGTTGGTACGTCTGTGAAAAACATTTCCCCCACACTCAGGACAAAAATATGGCTTCTCCCCCGTGTGTGAGAACTCTGATGTCTGACAAGTTTTGATTTTTTTCTACAAAACATTTCCTGCACTCAGGACAGGAATATGGCTTCTCCCCCGTGTGAGATCTCTGATGTATGGAAAGATTGTCCTTCTTTGAAAAACATTTCCCGCACACAGGACAGGACAGGAATACGGCTTCTCCCCCGTGTGAGATCTTTTATGCACATTAACAAGGGATTTAGAACGGAAACATTTCCCGCATTCAGAACAGGAATGCGGCTTTTCTCCTGCATGAGACCTCTGATGTATTATAAGGTTAGATTTTTCTACAAAACATTTTCCGCACTCAGAACAGGAATATGGCTTCTCCCCCGTATGAGATCTTTTATGCACATTAAGACTAGATTTAGAACAGAAATCCTTCCTGCACTCAGGACAGCAATACAGCTTCTCACCTTTATGAAATCGCTGATGTCTATAAAGATTGGACGTCTGTGAAAAAACATTTCCCACACTCAGGACAGGAATACGGCTTCTCTCCTGTATGAGCTCGCTGATGTGTGTAAAGATTGGACTTCCTTGAAAAACATTTCCAGCACTCAGAACAGGAATACGGCTTCTCCCCTGTGTGAGATCTTTTATTGCACATTAAGTTTGGATTTATAACGGAAACCCTTCCCGCACTCAGTACAGGAGAAGCTCCTCCCTGTTGGAAGGCCGGACCGGTCCCGCACAGTCTGAGGTTCCTCAGAATACGATCGTCCATCTACACTGGGTGGTGCCGGATGGACATTGGAGGGAGCCGGGTTTTCTCCTGGACTATACTGTGTGATGTCCTCATCTTCTACTTTCCAGTCTGGAGACAAAGTGAGACAATCCTCAGAGGTTTTCCTCATCTCCCGGCCATGGACTAAAATACAAAGACAAAGAGGATTACTAGACAGGAGCTGATTGGTTCCCTCAAACCAGGACTCCACCCACATCAGGCAGCTTGGTCTCTGAGGAGCTTACAATTCCACCCTCAAGGGAACTAGGAAATGGCTCCTCTGATCTCCTACCAGGTCATTTCTTTATTCATGGACCTTAGTCAGAGAGTGAGGAAACAACCAGAACTGTCTTTTATAGGAGGGACAGTGATGAGGGGATTATAGGACGAGGGTCCCCACCCCCTCTATCACTCATCGCCATCTTCCCAACACAAGAAGTACTGCACTTCCTTATTTAGTCCATGATTTAGTCATGAAGAACAGCGGGGCTGAGCCCCACCAGAGGTCAGAGAGTGAGGTTGGGGGGAGAACAACCAAGAATGAAGACTGGACTGATCCTGAAGACCACCATCATTGGGGTATTGACTCCTCCCTCATTATCACTTTCTGTTTAAGGGTCCAAAGTTGGAGGATGTTATCACATTATTATCACCATGTAAAAGTCTGTGCTCCAATCACATCATCCGATATAAAATGTCCAGCTGGGAGGAAATGGGTGACAACAAAAGAGAATCCATATTATGTGTATATATATAACAGTGGGGGAGGGGGAGAGCAGAAGTCAGGATATATGGAATGTACAACATAGAGTATATATGTGCAGGGGTCAGGAGTATGTAATGTACAACATAGAGTATATAGTGCAGGGGTCAGGAGTATGTAATGTACAACATAGAGAATATAGTGCAGGGGTCAGGAGTATGTAATGTACAACATAGAGTATATAGTGCAGGGGTCAGGAGTATGTAATGTACAACATAGAGTATATAGTGCAGGGGTCAGGAGAATGTAATGTACAACATAGAGTATATAGTGCGGGGGTCAGGAGTATGTAATGTACAACATAGAGTATATAGTGCAGGGGTCAGGAGAATGTAATGTACAACATAGAGTATATAGTGCAGGGGTCAGGAGTATGTAATATACAACATAGAGTATATAGTGCAGAGGTCAGGAGTATGTAATGTACAACATAGAGTATATAGTGCAGGGGTCAGGAGTATGTAATGTACAACATAGAGTATATAGTGCAGGGGTCAGGAGTATGTAATGTACAACATAGAGTATATAGTGCAGGGGTCAGGAGTATGTAATGTACAATATAAATTATACAGTGTAAGGGTCAGGACTCATAATATTGGTATTCAGTAATCAGTGGAAATTAAATGTTTACTGTAGACAAGTTGCAGAGATCCCACACACCGCTGCCTCCCATCTCCTGAGACTGCACTCAGTGACTTGGGTCTGAGACACTACAGACATATCCCTCCACCCGGCACAGCCAGCAGACCACAGAGCAAGGAACCCTGGGAGAAATGTTCTGTCAGAGATCTTACTGGCCCAGGCATGGGGAAGAAGATAAAAAATACATGTCCCAGGGGCCTAGTTAGAGTATCACACTATGCTGAAAAACTAATTTTGCTGCCCAGCTGAGCCCCAGAACCTCCATAAATCCAGTCTAGATACATAAATTGTGTCTGCAGCACAGAGAAGGAAGATTATCCGAGAGAAATCCAGGAATACAGGACGGGGAACACAGCTCAGCTCAGGAAAGTGACCAGGGGATTACAGGCTGATATCACCCAGTCCCCGCCCTACTCTGGACCAATCAGTGAGCAGTATGGGTGGAGGAATGGATTTAGTGTTCATGACCCACCTGTGCTGATCTCTGTAGGAGTGTCCTCCTCTATAAATGTCCCCGTTATTCCATCCTCCTCCATAGACTGCTGATCATCCCTCACATACGCCTCTTCTTCTTCTGCTTTCACCTCAAATTCTATATCGATTGGATCTCCACTCTAAATCAAGGAAATGAGAGAAAAATATCATCTGTAAAATGTAAGATTTATGATTGTGACATCACATATAAAATCCACACATTGTCTCCACAAGTCCATGTTCTAGATGCTCCATCCCACCAACCTTGTAATATGAGGGATGGTGTGACCTTCCTGTGTGGGATCCCGGGAATACACAAGGACGGGGACATCTCTCTGGTGGGTTCCTGGTATTAGGTGGCTCCATCATCTCCTTGTGTCCTTCTGAAAACTCCTTCATCATCACTCCATACTCCTCATCCTCCTCTTTATACTCTTCTTTAACATCAATATTATCATCCCCGAGGATTCCACTCTGAAAGATATAATAAAACATTCATTGTAACAAACATGCTGTGTATAAATCACAACTACCAATAATTGTCATCATCTACCTGATGATGGTGAGGGATGGTGTGACCTTCCTGTGTGGAATCCCGGGAATACAGAGGACGGGGACATCTCTCTGGTGGGTTCCCATGACTGGATCCATCTGTAGGAAACACACACACTGACTGAATCCATTGTTTCTATGTGTTTATCAGATGATGGGGGATCTAGGTGGATCCTCCGTACTGCTCTCTCCTTTACAATAAAGTCTCCTCTTACCCGGTGATGTGAGGGGGGGCGGCTGATTGTCCATCATGACGTCCTTGTAGAGATCCTTGTGTCCTTCTAAATACTCCCACTCCTCCATGGAGAAATAGACAGTGACACCCTGACACCTTATAGGAACCTGACACACACACATGATACAGTCACCATCCAGACACATCCCTTGTCTGTTACTGGAGAATGTCCCAGAATTCCCGGCACCGCTCACCTCTCCTGTCAGCAGCTCAGTGATCTCTCTGGTGACTTCTAGAATCTTCTTCTTCTTTCTCTCTTCTATCAGGGAGGGAGGTGGAGGCAATGTGATGTCATATGATCTCCAGACTTCACAGGAGGAAAACTCTACATCTGAACACAAATAGTCACATCAAATGATATTCCCAGAATCCTCCTCACCTCTCCATTCAGGTCTCCATTTTATTAAAGCCCCACTTCAGGCTGAGGTATAATTTCCCCCCACAGGACCCCCACACTACGCAGGGTATAGGCTTGTGAGGTCAGTGTGATGTCATAGGATTCTCTGACTCTGGATGGAGGGACATTGGGGGGAGGAGCTGTGAGGTCAGTGTGATGTCATAGGATTCTCTGACTCTGGATGGAGGGACATTGGGAGGAGGAGCTGTGAGATCAGTGTGATGTTATAGGATTCTCTGACTCTGGATGGAGCTCTGGATGGAGGGACATTGGGAGGAGGAGCTGTGAGGTCAGTGTGATGTCATAGGATTCTCTGACTCTGGATGGAGGGACATTGGGAGGAGGAGCTGTGAGGTCAGTGTGATGTCATAGGATTCTCTGACTCTGGATGGAGGGACATTGGGGGGAGGAGCAGTGAGGTCAGTGTGATGTCATAGGATTCTCTGACTTCGGTTGGAGGGACATTGTGAGGAGGAGCTGTGAGGTCAGTGTGATGTCATAGGATTCTCTGACTCTGGTTGGAAGGACATTGGGAGGAGGAGCTGTGGGGGACGCTCTGTGAGGTTTCTGTACATTGCTCCCAGGTGCATCCCACCTCTCCAAACATGAAAGATGATCTTTGTCTTTGGGCTTTGCCAGGACACATCATATTTCTCAGATCTCCATGTACTCCGGAGACTTTACTGATCACATTTTAGGATGAATATCTGTGACTGGGATCATTATGGAGAAATATGGTTTCAGGGCATTTTTATTATTATACAGGATTTTATGGCGCCAACAGTTTGCTCAGCGCTTTTACAATATAACGGGAGACAATAAAGCAACAATACAGTTCAATACAAGAGGGATAGGAGGGGCTGATCCTGGGAGCTTACAATCTAGGAGGGAGGGGCTAGTGGTACAAAAGATAGTAACTGTGGGGGATGGATTGGTTGGAAGAGTAGAAGATTCCATTATTAGCTGAGGGCAGGATAGGCTTCCCTGAAGAGATAGGTTTTCAGAGATTGCCTAAAAGTGAGCAGAGTAGGCGATAGTCTGATAAAATGGGGTAAAGAGTTCCAGAGGATGGGGGAAGCTCTTGAGAAGTTCTAGAGGTGAGCATGGGAGGAGGAGACAAGGGAGCTAGAGAGCAGGATGTCATGGGAGGAGCGGAGAGGATGGTTTGGGTGATATTTAGAGACAAGATTGGAGTTACAATAGTCAAGGTGAGATATAACAAGGGAGGGAATAAGTTGCTTAGTGGTTTCCGAGGTTAGGAACGGGCGTATCTTGGAGATGTTGCGGAGGTGAAGTCTACAAGATTTGGACAGTGATTGGATTTGGGGGTGAAAGGACAGATGGGAGTCTAGGATAACACCTACCGTATTTTTCGCTCCATAAGACGCACCTGACTATAAGACGCACCTAGGTTTTAGAGGCAGAAAACAGGAAAAAAAAAATTCTGAACTAATGGACTGCAGACATAGTACAGGAGATGACCAGAGACTGCGTACACAGTACAGGAGATGACCAGAGACTGCGGACAGTACAGGAGATGACCAGAGACTGCGGACAGTACAGGGGATGACCAGAGACTGCAGACATAGTACAGGAGATGACCAGAGACTGCGGACACAGTACAGGAGATGACCAGAGACTGCGGACACAGTACAGGAGATGACCAGAGACTGCGGACATAGTACAGGAGATGACCAGAGACTGCGGACATAGTACAAGAGATGACCAGAGACTGCGGACATAGTACAGGGGATGACCAGAGACTGCGGACATAGTACAGGGGATGACCAGAGACTGCGGACACAGTACAGGAGATGACCAGAGACTGGGGACATAGTACAGGAGATGACCAGAGACTGCAGACATAGTACAGGAGATGACCAGAGACTGCGGACACAGTACAGGAGATGACCAGAGACTGCGGACAGTACAGGGATGACCAGAGACTGCGGACACAGTACAGGGATGACCAGAGACTGAGGACACAGTACAGGGATGACCAGAGACTGTGGACAGTACAGGGATGACCAGAGACTGCGGACAGACCAGAGATGCGGACAGCAGACATAGTACAGGAGATGACCAAGGACAGTACAGTACAGTACAGGAGATGACCAGAGACTGCGGACACAGTACAGGACCAGAGACTGCGGACAGTACAGGAGATGACCAGAGACTGCGGACACAGTACAGGAGATGACCAGAGACTGCGGACACAGTACAGGAGATGACCAGAGACTGCGGACAGACAGCACAGGGATGACCAGAGACTGCGGACACAGTACAGGGATGACCAGAGACTGCGGACATAGTACAGGAGATGACCAGAGACTGCGGGACATAGTACAGGAGATGACCAGAGACTGCGGACATAGTACAGGAGATGACCAGAGACTGCGGACATAGTACAGGAGATGACCAGAGACTGCGGACATAGTACAGGAGATGACCAGAGACTGTGGACATAGTACAGGAGATGACCAGAGACTGCGGACATAGTACAGGAGATGACCAGAGACTGCGGACATAGTACAGGAGATGACCAGAGACTGCAGACATAGTACAGGGATGACCAGAGACTGCAGACACAGTACAGGAGATGACCAGAGACTGCGGACAGTGAAGGGATGACCAGAGACTGCGGACATCAGAGCAGGAGATGACCAGAGACAGCGGTCATAGCAGGAGATGACCAGAGACTGTGCAGGGATGACCAGAGACTGTGGACATAGTACAGGAGATGGTCAGAGACTGCGGACATAGTACAGGGATGACCAGAGACTGCGGACATAGTACAGGAGATGGTCAGAGACTGACTGCAGACACAGCACAGGAGAGATGACCAGAGACTGCGGACAGTGCAGGGATGACCAGAGACTGCGGACAGTGCAGGGATGACCAGAGACTGCGGGACAGTGCAGGGATGACCAGAGACTGTGGACAGTACAGGAGATGACTGCTGACCTTTGGGGAGGTGGGGAGCGGGTACCTGAATTTGACAGGTACCTGCTCTTACTTCCGCAGAGTTTTTTTCATCATACCTGTTCCTCGATCCAGCCGCGCGCTGTCTTCCCGGCTTCTGTAGTGTGGGCGCTCGTCGGACAGCCGGATGCCCAGTGCGAATGCGCGAGAAGCGCTGCGCTTTGTGATTGGTCCGGCAGCTTCTGGGATCTGTCATGTGTCCCAGGTACCGCCTTACCATTCACAAAGAGCACTGCTTCTTGCGCATGCGCACTTGGGACCCGGCTGTCACGCACACACTACAGAAGCCGGGAAGACAGCGCGCCGCTGGATAGAGGGACAGGTAAGGTCCCACTGCAGAGCTGAGCGGCCGGCCCGGTATTCTGACACGGCGGCGGTGGAAAATACCGGACCGGCCGCTCTATATTCGCTCCATAAGACGCACTGACATTTTCCCCCCTTTTTTGGGGGAAAAAAAGTGCGTCTTATGGAGCGAAAAATACGGTAATACCCTGGCATGAGGGGAGGGACTGATGGTTGTTATTGGTCTTGATGAAGAAGTCAGGGGGAGGGGGCACGGGCTGGGGGGAATACTAAGAGCTCAGTTTTGGAAAGATTGAGTTTGAGGAAGTGGAGTGACATCCATGCCGATATGTCACTCAGTAGGATAGTAATGCGAGAAAAGACTGAAGGGGCGAGGTGAGGAGGAGACTGAAGGGGTTAGGTGAGGAGGAGACTGAAGGGGTGAGATGAGGAGGAGACTGAAGGGTAGGAGGTGAGGAGGAGACTGAAGGGGTGAGGTGAGGAGACTGAAGGGGCGAGGTGAGGAGGAGACTGAAGGGATGAGGTGAGGGGGTAGAAAGATAGATTTGTGTGTCATCAGCATAGAGATGGTACTTAAAGCCATGGGAGTTTTTTAAGTGACCAAAGGAGGAGGTGTAGATGGAGAAGAGAAGGGGTCCAAGGACAAAACCTTGAAGGAACCCTACAGAGAGAGCGGGTAGAGAGGAGGAGCCAGAGTTATAGGTAATGCTGAAGAAGCGCTGTGATAGGTAGGAGGAGAACCAGAGAGAGCAGAGTCTCGGAGGCCAACAGAGTGGAGTTTTTTGAGGAGGGGATGGTCAACGGCATCAAAAGCCTCAGAGAACTCAAGCAGTAAGAGTACAAAGTAGTGACCATTGGTTGGGATGAGTACGGAGTAGTGACCATTGGTTGGGATTAGTATGGAGTAGTGGCCATTGGTTTGGATTAGCATGGAGTAGTGGCCATTGGTTGGATTGAATATGGATTAGTGGTCATTGGTTGGGATGAGTACAGAGTAGTGACCATTGGTTGGGATGAGTACTGAGCAGTGACCATTGGTTGGGATGAGTACTGAGCAGTGGCCATTGGTTGGGATGAGTATGGATTAGTGGTCATTGGTTGGGATGAGTACTGAGCAGTGACCATTGGTTGGGATGAGTACTGAGCAGTGACCATTGGTTGGGATCAGTACAGAGTAGTGACCATTGGTTGGGATGAGTACTGAGCAGTGACCATTGGTTGGGATCAGTACAGAGTAGTGGCCATTGGTTTTAGCAGTTAGTAGATCATTAGTGAGGTTTAGTAGGGCAGTTTCAGTGGAGTGTAGAGAGTGAAAGCCAGACTGTAAAGGGTGAA